CTCTGCTGAGCCCAAGACACAAACAGATGAGGACCCAGACCCAGGACAGGAGCACAAACACAGGGTGGCTGAAGTGCTCACCGCACGGGCAGACGAAGGACATTGACGGCCGGAAGAAGTGACCTGAGCAGGAGCCTTTAATATGACAGATGACACCCTGAAAAGGTGTGGAGGAAAGGTAGCAATATGGGACAGTGACTGGGAGACACAGGAGGGCCAGGGGACAGACCCCAGACAGAGGGGGACAGGGACAGACCCCATAGGGGGGAGGACTGGGGACAGAGCCTGGAGAGAGGGGCACAGGGGACAGACCCCGGAGAGAGGGGGACAGGGACAGACCCCAGAATGGGGAGGACAGGGGACAGACCCTAAAGAGATGGGGGCCAGGGGACAGACCCCATGGGGGGAAGACAGGGGACAGACCCCAGAGAGAGGGGGCCAGGGGACAGACCCCAGAGAGAGGGGGACAGGGGACAGACCCCAGAGAGAGGGGGACAGACACAGACACCAAAGATAGGGGGACAGGGACAGACCCCAGAGCAGGGAGGACAGGGGACAGACCCCAGAGCAGAGAGGACAGGGGACAGACCCCAGAGAGCAGTGGGGGTGGGGGACAGGGGACAGGAGGCAGGGTGAGGAGGTCATGAGGAACTTCCTGTGCCTCCCGGTGGACAGTCTGGAATTCCTGGAATACTGGGAACGGGGCCCCTGCCATTGGGCGGACGTCCTGGAACCCAGCCCGTGAGTGTCGTTTGCAGGGATTCAAGAATAAGTTGTTACCTGAAGGATCCGCACGGAAGAATGCCGAGAAATCTGTCAAATGAGCAAACACCGGTTTACAAGTGTTGTAACTTGTGTCTTTACCGTATGTTCTTGCTAGAAAGTGTGTGCGCGTCAGGAAAAGTACCCGAGGGAAAAGATCGCGGTGACCTGGCGCCAGAGACGCGTCTTATATCCACGGGTTTAACCCCTGGGAGGGTCGGCTGTGTGCACAACAGGGTCTTTATGAAAATCCTACACACAGAGCAGATGGAGGGGGAGAGGGGTTACAGTGCTGGGGGCTGGGGACCCGGGACGGGGGGAGATGTCCCACGATGGGGCGCACCGGGCCGGGGGTATCATGAGGCTGGGGGTCACTGAGTGGGGGTTATGGGGCAGAGGTCACATGGTGGGTGTCACGGGGCTGGGGGTGATGTCATGGGGTGGGGGTCACTGGGTGAGGGTCTCAGTATGGAGGTGATATTACAAGGTGGGGGGCACAGGGCTGGGGGGGATGTCACAAGGTCAGGGCACAGGGCTGGGAGTGTCATGAGGCTGGGGGTCATTCAGTGGGGGTTAGGGGGTAGAGGTCACATGGTGGATGTCATGGGCTGGGGGTCACAGGGTGGGTGTCACAGGGCTGGGTC